TATATATATATATACACGCATACACACACGCATGGATAAGGTGAGTGACACAATTCAAGTTTGCAAGTTCGAAGACCACAATTCAATTGAAAAAGAGTTGTTTACAATTGCTCATTCATTCAGCAAGAAAGAGCCACCTAAACATTCACTTCACATCTTCTAAATTTACTATTTTACTTCCAACAAACAAACAAAATCCCTCTTTTATCAATAAACGATGTGGTATGCGTGTGTGCGTGTGTCTAAGTGCGTGTGTGCGTGTGTCTAAGTGCGTGTGTGCGCACATATATATTTATGTATATATATGTGTGTGTTCATGTGTACTCATATTCATACGTGGGCACTTTGATGAACGTTTTGTATGTATGCATGTAATAATACACAAATTTAGCACTGCAATAGAAAAGAAGAGAAAAAAAGACGTTGTCATTAAGAGAAAAATATATCTCAAGGGATACGGTACTGATTGTTGGTCTTTTCAATGATGCAAGTTGTATACAAGCCTGCTTATTTTGCCTTTTTACCGTAATTTGCACTATTCCTATATTTTATTTAAGAGAAAAAAAGGAAAAAAAAAAGCGAAATATAAAAATTAAAAGATATATAACTGAGTGAAATAAAAGCAATAAATGCAACTTATTTAATAAGTAAACGAAAAGGTAACTAAATTTGTGAATAAGCTGAATGATATATTTGTAATACGATTAATACTAAATATATTGTGGAAAATAACAAACAATTCATGTGAAATATTCTTTTACGTGAGTAAAAATACGCTTTTATTACTTTTGCATGAGCACAATTAGTCTCTTACTTTCTTAATTACATTTAAGCTTATAGCTAGCTCATTCTTTCTTTTTCACACAAGCGCAACAGCATCATATATGAATTCTTTAACAATTTCATCGAACAGAAGTGAAAGCGAAAAAAAAACTGTCTTTTTGTTTTACACTTTATACTTCTTAATACATTTTTCTTCATTGTCAATACTAAAATTTAACCTATGAACTGCACTGAATTAAAAAAAATTGTCGCAAACTTTTTATAATAGACAATGAATTAAGAAAAGTAATAAGATTTCACGTAAATATAATTTCATGTACAAAATAAATAAATTTCGTTTCGTCAAAATAACAAATAAATGCCATAAAACAGAGACTTTTCTAATGAAAACTTTAAAGTTTACATTTGAGTTAATGTAAGCATGGAAGCAATGAATTTTATGTATTGTATACTGCTTTGAATTGATAATAATTTTTGTAATATTTTTATGTTACAAACTGATAAGTAATGTTTTTCAGTATTACAGCGGTAGCTGTAAAACAATGAAAGTAAAAATAAAATTGAAAACACCAAGTTTTTATAAATATCAAAATTTTTAGTATACGCGAAAAAAATCAAAAAATTATTACTTCCACAATTGTATAGTATGATATGAATTATTTGCAATTTAGAAAAAAAGAATTATCAGATTGATTTTTGTAGTTGGCATAGTTTGACATAAAATTACTAATACCAAATTGCAAAAAATGTTTAAGCATTAAAAAAATTATTTATTTACAATAATAATAACTTTGACTTTTTGCTAAAAGACAATACAATTTAATGAGAAAGAATATTTCAATCTATACAGTTTTAGATTAAATTTTGTATCGAAAAAACTTATTTTAAAAAATTATTAAATTTTCAAAAACAAAATAAAAAGTATTTTTGTCATAAAAAAATTAGTATAAAGTTAACATTTATTCATTCATTCAATCATTTGAGATGAAAATGTGAAAAGTTTGTTGAACACAATGTTCTTCTCTTCATGCCATTCATCTGCTCTGCTCATATATGTCAGATAGATAGATAGATAGATAGATAGATAGATAGATAGATAGATAGTTGTGTGTGTTTCACAAGTATAAGAAATAAAAATTAAAAAAAAATAATCAATCAGTCAAAAAAAAAAAGAAAATTAAACTAAAATCTTTTTTATGTTTCTTTGCAATGTTAAAAATTGTTCAAAGTGTTATTTTTCATATTTGTTAGCCAAAAGTAATTTCTCATTTCATTTATTTTCACTTTGTAATAAAATTAATATTTTTTTTTTAATTTTAGAATTTTTATTTTAAAAAAATTTGCTCTAATACTTATTTGTTATTTTATTTATTGCGTATAACTTTTAATAAACAAAATATACAATCAAAATTGCATATATAATAGACTAATAATTTTTAAATTATTTAATTTAAACATTTTTTTGTTGTAATTAATCAAAAATTTCCCAAATATTTGAAAATTTTCATGAAAACAAACTTTTTTTTGGTGAAAACAAATATTAGCAAAAAATAACTTTAATTTTTAGCAAAAATTGTTAGGCTACTGGTTTGAATGAACAAAACTTTTCAGTAATCTCCAAATTATTTGCAATTACACTCAAAATTCAGTTATAAAACTCATTTATTACAACCAAAAATGAGTAATAAAAGTCAGTTTTTTTCCACAATTATAAAAATTAAGAGAAAAAATGATGCTTTTAAATCAATTATTTACAAATTTTTACTGATAGAAATTTTTTAAAACTTTTTAAATCAATAAAAGAAAAATAAGATTAATTATTTATTTAAGTACGATTCATTGTTGAGCTTGTAACATGCTTACACATTACTATATTACAATAATTTTACAGTAAGTAAACTAAATGTGCTATATTTTGTTTAGCTAGAATGTTTTAGCAGCTTCTTAAGCACACCTCTGAACGTGTTATAAAATGAAAAATAAGACAGACCCAACTGAATCTTTTAAATGTTTCACTGCTTCAGACCGGCGTAACAATTAGGTTTACTCATATCCGCAAGAAATTTGGAAATGAATAATTCATACCACAAAATTCAAAATTCCGCCAAATCATATTTATTTTTGCTAAAGTTACCTTTCAGTCTTAAAAAATTATCTTATCTATACACTAACCAAAGATATTACTAATGCAAGTGCAAGAGTTTCATATTGGCTTTATTTTTTATGTTTATTTTTTTACATAATTCCTCCATGAAATCTTATTATGTTTATATTTTTATTTGTCTTCTATAA